TGCTATAATGAAAGTAAGTTCATAACAAGGACAAACCTGTGTTCGGCCCTTTTTTGTTGCTATATGCAGTGCAGTATTTCCCTTGTTATCTTCCAATCCCAGTACAGAGGGTTCAGGTTTTATTAACTCTGTCACGATCTCCACATTTTGTCCTTTCACGGCCATATGCAGCGCCGTTTGACCTTTTCTATCAGGCCAAGAGCCTATACTAGGATCCTTGTTTAATAGGGATTTAACAGCTTCCAAGTGACCCATTCTTGCTGTTGTATGAAGCACGGTCTTGCCATTATTTTTTGCAATCTTCGTGAGGTTGGAATCAGTATCAAGAAGCAGATTTACTACATCAATGTGACCCTGAGCAGCAGCTGTATGTAAGGCAGTCGAATTTGATGGATCTGTAGTCATGACCAGGTTTGGGAAGAAACGCAAGAGTTCCTTCAGCACATCTGCACCATTTAAAAAATATACTTCAGCAAGATAATAGGTGAAGCAGCACCTAACTCGACATAAAACCAGATTTCCAAAATGTCGTCTTTTTGTTTATTTTTTCCGTGCCCTACTTAAATCTTAATGCTCACATATGGTTACTAGTCAGCAGGCACTCCATAACTATCCAGGAACTTCACATAAGAACAGGATTCGCATAGAAATGTGAAATGGCCACTTCAATAAGATACATTTTCCAACTAGCCAAAAGATCAGGAAACCAGAGAAAGATGCAAACAGCACATGTTTTGACCATCAAAATATAAGGTAGTAGCCAATATAGTTACATGATCTCTATTAATTCAAGTGATGAATAAAATTAGGGACTGATTTGGACTAGCGCCCCAAACTAGCGGCACACGAAGAAACACAATGTCATGGATAATAATGATCAGTGAAATGTTATTAGATTACTATGAATGAAGAGTCAGTGGAATATAAAAGATGATAGCATACACTTTCGACAAACAAAACTCTAGTACAGGAGAATATATAGATAGTCAAACAACTTCTCCATAGAAAAAGTAGCACTATATTCTCACACGAAGCACCAAGAAACTCAATTAATAATAATCTTGAATTTAAATCAGTCCAAGTTATATAAAGGAACTCATAAATGGACATTGAGATCCAAGACTCACCAATATGACCCTGCTTCGCAGCCACATGGAACGGTTCATAGCCACTGTTGGCTACAATTGAGGCAGTTTCAACATCAGAATGTCTTAAGAGCTCTCCAACAATCAAAGCATGCCCTTTTTCAGCTGCAACATATAATGGAGTTTCACCCTCTTGGTTCTTATTGGACAACAGATCTTTAATTCCATTATTGATATTCTCAAACTTCTGAAAAATTTCTTTCACCTTCCCCAAATTCCCAGCTCGGGCCGCCAGATGAAGTGGTGAATCCCCGCGTTTTCCAGGCGAATCCTTGCCCCTTTTCCTCTCTCCGCCAAAACTTATCTGTCTCTCCATCGCTATCCTGAAACTCTTTTGCTTTTCCATTAAACCCCTAAAGCTTTTCTGCTTCTCCATTGGCCCGCTGCGAAAACTTTGTTGTTTTTCCATTGTAGGATTCCGAAAACTATTCTGTTTCTCCATATCACATAGAAATCTTGAAAAAATTCGAAAAAGAAACTTCTTAGCTAATGAAAATCCTAACACTTTTAATTTTTCAGCAACTAGAATTTTTTCGCCATTATCAGATGCAATTGATGACCAAAAAAAAAAAAAAACACTTTAAGAGAATCTTTATAACTCCAATATTCAGATGATTTAATCAAAGCAAAATCACCCAATTTACAGATCAAAAATCCCCAGACTTACAAAAATTTGGAACCAAGAACTGGAGTTATTTAATGAGACTCAAATTCAGAATGAAAACTTGAAAAATCCAAGGGTATAATTACCTTGAGTTCTTGTTTTGGCACAAAGGTAAAACTTGAACTTCAATAATCAGTCCAAAACTCAAAAGAATCCACTTTTTCCACTGAACTCACAAAAAGGGAAAATCCAGGAGCTGAAATCAAGAGAA